GAAAGAGTGAGGTGCAACAGTTAAAACAAGGCAATGTTAAATAGACCAGATGTCTATAATCAGTTTAATGGTTGTGAATAATTTAAAGCTGATTTTTAATTATAAGGAGATGCAATAAATTGTAGAAATACTCATTGGCTATCTACTTTAGCTGTTTTTTGCTGTAGACATCAGAGGTAGAAGTAAATCTAGACAAAAAACTTGAAAGAGGGCAAGGTTGTGTCTCATCAGCTATTTTAGAAAGGCTGTTATGTTCATGGCATAGAAGGATGTGCAAGGAATGCTGGTAGAGATGTTCAGGCAGTCAAGGCTTGAGATTGTTAAGAAATATCTCAGTAAGCTGCTGTGACAGTAGTATTTTGAAGGACCTTAAAGAGGTGAGAACAAGCAGTTGAATTTGATATTGTAAAGAAGGAGAGTCAGTGGAGGGAAAGGGTTAATATGGTTAGAACAGTAGGTGTATTTGAGGCCTGGAGAGGAGGCGGCTGCAAAAGATAAGACAGGATGTGATCAGAGTGGATGAGAGCTTTGGGAGAGTGGAAATGGTATCAAAGAAGTGAAGAGATTTTAATGGGAGAAGAGTGGCTGAAGCAAAACAGAGAGTGGAGTAAAAAATATAAGAGAACTGAAAAGGGTTTAAGAATAAAGGACTTGGATTTTTCCAGACTGGCCCAGCTGTTTTGGAATAAGTTCAGGCAAAGGAAGTAGGAGCGGGGGTTTTAACATTGCTGCAGCAACTCAGTCCTGTGGCTATAAAGTGCTGCTTCAAGCTGCGTACACATGTTCAAGTGACCTGGAAGAATTCTCCAGGGTTTGCTCTCCTAGTAGAAAAACTTGCCTGGAAATGCCTAAATAGAGTTCCTGAAAAGCAGAGAGCTTGGAGAGCTTGCACTGCTGATGCTGCACAGCCAGGGGAGGGCTGTACACACATATCAGCATGCTCTGCAGGCTCCTTCAGTCTACCTGGTGGCAGATGGCAGCAGTGCACAGGGCAGCCCTGATTGGCAGACCTAGACTGCCTTGCAGGCTATGTCTTCCTGCATCACAAGGAGGGCAGTGCAGAGTGGGGTGTTATGCTCCATGTTTGGCTGAAGAAGAAGAGTCCAGCCAAAGTGACACACTGTTTCCCAAGCAGGGAAAAGAGGGTGAGAGGAAAACACCCTGGGATGCTGGAGGACTGTGCTGCAGCTTCTCTCAGAAGGATAAGTTGTATGGACATCCTCTCTTTCAAGAGAAACTCTCCCAAGAGTGATTTAACCCTGGTTGTTCCTGGGTTAGTTTTCTCCTAGAGTGGCCATTTTGGCTTTGGGAGAACCCCCCACGAACATCCGTACACATTGATAACTGAGCCATGAGTCTCCCAGGTGAAACTGAATGTCTGCATGTGGTTTTAGTCTCAGGAACAAAATAGAGCATCCTGAAGTTGGTTGCTGTATCTTACTTTACTAGCTTAGTGCTTGCAGGGAACAGCCCAAACCCTGTGGTATCTCTGGGGCACAAAAAGGATACCTCTTTCGCAACCTTGCCCTTTATGTTAGGATGTAATGGGGTGGTGATATGGGAGTTAATACAGTACTGACAGCATCAGGAGATTCTTGTTCTGCAGAAAGAATCCTCACAGAGCTGCGTAAATCATGGTGGTAACTACTTTTCATATTCAGGCTGATGCTGAGTGGCTGAAATGCACACAGGAATTGGATTCAAGAAATTCAGTTTTAAACATATTAAGCGAGAAAACAGTTAGATATCCAGTAGAAGACAACTGTGAAATTGGTTCAACTTCAGGACAGGAGAAAACAAATAAGTAAGGAATGGAGAGGTTGAGGGGGCAAATCTTATCTTTGCTGTATTGATCATAGGTTCATAGATTCATAGATGCTAGGGTCAGAAGGGACCTCAATAGATCATCGAGTCCGACCCCCTGCATAGGCAGGAAAGAGT